ATACTTATAATAATAAATTGTATTAATTGATTTATTTAAATGTATCATATTTTTAATAATAAATTGTATTCATTCATTCATTTATTTATTTAAATGTATACTAATATTTTTAATAATACATTTTATTCATTTATTTAAATGTATCATAATATTTATACAAATTAATTGTATTTATTTAAAATTCAGATGAGATCCAGAGAAATGTTAGATTAAAATGAAGAGCAAGAGTTGGTGCATCCTGCTTTAAATAACGTCAAAGTCAGTTTTGAGTAAATAAACATGAAGGACAATAAATACAGACTGTGTACAAACAGTAAAGCATGAGTGAGATGCTGAAGTATCCTGTAGCACTGATGTGATTAGTGATTTCTGACCCTGATCTTCACCTTACTCCCGATGTCACAGACGTCGATGGGATCGTTATCACCGCAGCAGCCCGTGTCTCCGTCTCGGTGGCCTGGATCCTCCCACGTCTGCAAGAGACGGAAAATCATCTGTCCATTCATTCACATGATGATGATATTGCTGGGGTTGGCATCTAAACGTGCATGAAATCTCCCTCGTTGAGCTCGCTCATGCATCAATCTGGCTTTTCCCTGGAGGTTTCCACACTTTAATTCTGCATGCTTAAACATCTAAGCATCTGAAAGAGCCCTTGTGACAAACCTGAGGAATGGCTCCATAGTTCCAGATGTAGCCCTTGTGAGGAAAGACATTGCTGACGTAACGCAGGTTCCCTTTCTTCAAATCCTGCTTCAGTGGAATGAGAGGATCTTTAGTCGCGATCTGGAGAAACGAGGGCGATATATTTCAGAATGTGTTCATTTACTCACACTTGTTTCATTGACTTTCTGTCTTCCATAAAATGTGAAATAGAATGTAAACACAGCTCAGAAATTAAAGGCGTCAACTCCAAAAAGCAGCATAATATGACTCGTCCCACACAGCAAAAAAATATATATAATAATTTTTTTTCATATATTCCAAAATATGCAATAAATCAGAAAAAAATACCTTTGCTAAAATATATTTATGTCCACTTATACCTATATATTTTGGCCATTTTTATATATTTTTTGAAAATATATTAAAAAAATATTAATTTTGAAAAATTCAATATTTGCCCTATATATTTAATTTCAGGAAAATACATTCCACGTCACATTTAAAGAAATAAAATATTTTGTTGTGTGAACATATAACACATTTGACCAAAAATCAGCAAGGAAAAACATTATTTTATATTAAAAAAATTACAACATTATATTAACAGTATATTAACATTATTAAATCATTGTAAATCTTTTTTTGATCTATATGCTATTTCATTCAAATTTACATTTCACCTAAATGTAGGCTACTGTAAGTTTGGAAGTGTATTTTATTGCCCTTAAAATACATTTTAAATATATTTTTGTACACTATATGTAGGTTGAAAGTAATATATTTTGTATTTCAAAAATATATTTAATTGAACTTCACTGTTTACCAAATATATTTAGCATCTGTTTAAAATATATTGTGGCCACAAAAAACAAAAACAAAAAAACAGAGAAAGAAAGCCATATGTGGTGCATAATATTCCAAGTTTTCTGATGTTATATGATGCTTTATGCGAGGAACAGACTTTTTTATTGACCGTAAATCACCCTTAAATCTAATATGAATGTGTTATCAGTTAAAAAATGATGTTGAGAGTTTTCTCTCCTGATCCATATCCAGTTATATTTTTGATCTTTTGAAAAGCGTCTGATGATGAGAAGTTGCATTCGAGCTTCAGTAGATTCGAGCTTTCCCGTCATGGATGGTTTCCCTCAAGAATTAAATTTACACAAGTCATTTAATATAAATAAAAGGCATACTAAGTGCATGTAAAGTGTCTACTGTAAAGAACTTTTGGGAATTAAAATGTCAACATTTAAATGGAATAATGTTCCATCATCATTCAGCGTATATATTTATGTAAAAATTAAACAACATACTTATTCTGATCTGTACTTATTAAAATATATAAAAGAGTAAGTGATCGTAAATTTTATTATATTTTAAATTATTAAATTAACAAATAGCTAAAACCTAGTGGTTTAAAGGATCGTGTCAAAAAAAAAAAAAAAAGATGATGTTTAATTACATTTTGGGGGCTTAAAGTCTTTCAGTGTCATCTAATGATTCCTGTTCTAAATATGCCTGATGAGATTTTTTGGTATATGAAATATTGATCCGCTGAATGACGTTTTAGTGGGTGTGTTCTGGAAATCATTGTAAATAATGTATCATAGTCATTATTTTTTGCTCAGGAAAAAAAAGCAATTAAATTAAACAGGACACATTCTAACGTATGGAAAAAAAACAACTAAATTTAAAGTTGTATTAAACTTATGCCTGATGAGATTTTTTGGTATATGAAATATTGATCCGCTGAATGACGTTTTAGTGGAGGTGTTCTGGAAATCATTGTAAATAATGTATCATAGTCATTATTTTTTGCTCAGGAAAAAAGCAATTAAATTAAACACATTCTAACGTATGAAAAAAAAACTAAATTTAAAGTTGTATTAAACTTTTATTGTTTTGATGCTTAAAAACAATACAGACCTCACATGGGGCAAAATGCATTAACATTTAAAGAGAAACTCAGTTCCTCAGTTCGAAATAACAAGGAATGATGTGTTTTTATGGAGGCCTAGTGACATAAATGTAAAGCTTTCCCAAAATGAAAATGCTCTGATAAAGTATATATATATACTTGAAAAATGTACTTAGTTACAATAACAAAGTAAAATGACTGTCCACCGCTGTGCTATTATTATTATTATTATTATTACTATAATTCTTGGAATTCCTATATTAAGTTAAGGATAATCAGAGGAGCGTTGAATTGAACACGATGTAACGGTTAAAGAAGCTCCTAATGCTTTTCTTTAATGCATTCTAGTGCATGTGAGATAATTGGCAGGTTATTTGAGCGTGCGTGAAGATCGAGAGCGAGTGTCGATGTGAATATCCTCAAGAAGATTTCTTACCTCCATCTTTGCATTTGTCCATCTAGGAACCTCGACGACAGCATGGAAGATGTTCTGAAGGAGAAAACGGATTTGGTCAGATGATCACAACTCTGTTTTACAGTCAGATTCTATGAAATCCTTTATAGAGCATGTTAGAGCAACTGACTGCATGCATGCAGGTAAATTAGCATAAATTAAAGGCAGTGAAAAATTATATCATGATGCATAACTACTTTGCACTCGATTTATTTAATCAGGGGATGAAATAATATCTAATTCTGTTTTTTGTTTAAGAGAAATGGTCCTTAAAATGGGCTTTGTTTTATGTAAGCAGAATATTTTAAATTTTTTTACCCCTCTGGTTTTGATGTGTAATATGATCTGGAATTATTTTGGCATGAATGCATATGTGTTTTGAATTATTATTTTCATTGAAACGGTCTTTATTGTTTTGCAGATGTGTGTGAGAGACTTTATACAGTAAAGTATATCCATCATTGGCTGCTGAATCTTCTTCATATACATTTGCATTGACAAAATCATTTCATAACGCAGAATATTTTTCTCTCAGTCTCACGTTTCTACAGTTTAAGGAAGTCACACGTTTTCCTGATTTTCTTTCTCTCTGCAGTGTCTGAGTTCATGTTCCTGCATGATAATTCTGCCCTGTGTTGTGTTAATATTATTCAACCCCCCCGTGACCTCGAATAGAGGAATCTATTCCCATAATTCATCTGACATATTAATGTCATTATGAGCTCCAGGAGGGTTATCAGGAGAGAATGCATCTAATTTGATTTAATTCACACACACACACACACACTCTCACACACGCTCACACACACACACACACACTCTCTCTCTCTCACACACACACGCGCGCGCGCACACACTCACACTCTCTCTCACACACACACACACACACACAGTAATGCTTATAATTAACAGTTGCACTTTCCATTTCATCATTGGCCTTATTTTTCAATACAAAACCTAAATTTGTTGTGGTTTTAAGCTTCTCTCATTTACTGCATGTCTGTTTGAATTTCTGAGTTGTTGACAATATTTCACGTGATGATTGATGAGTGAATCAATCTGTGTGTTTCACAGAACAACTTCTGTTCCTCATTCAAACCCAGTTCAGAGATCTGAGGAAATAAAGGCGTGAATCAGGATTCAGATATTCCATACCTCGGCCTCGTCGGCGTAGATGGGAATGTCATGAAACGGAGATATGTATTTTCCCTCTGTGTTTTCTGTGAGACGACATAAAAGAGCGTCACAAAGGATCTAAAACACTCAGAGATTAAAGAGATTTTCAGCACTTTCTGATGTCTGACAGTGAGAGCAGGGGGATTTATTGTGATGTTTGAACCAAAGACAGAATTCATTATGCAGAATGATGATTGGTCACATAGCAACAGTAGTTACTTCTTCCTGTTACTGCCACCAGCAGATGCTCAACTGTTAATTTTGTGTGTGTGTGTGTGTGTGTGTGTGTATAAGACACACTTTATATTTAAAGTGTGTATTAAATATACCTAATTATATAGTTAAGAATTGTTATGCAGCATCCAATATAAAATGAATATGATTGTGTAATTTAAGAACGAATATATTCAGAGCATATATTCAGCTTTACTAATTATGTCTTGATGAGTTTTAGTGTCAATGTTCATTTCTCAGAGACAGTTACATGCAGCTTAAAGTTAATTAAGCAACTAACGAGGTGATGGATAAACCTGACAAATTTAATGTTAATTAAAACCATGTCTACAAGATGTTCAAGAAGAAAGATCATGAGCATCCACTCAAGTAGAGAAATGATCTAAAATCAGCCTATGTTCACTTCATTGTGAGACTGAGTGAAAATCGAGAGTTTAGTATTTGATCGACTACTTTAAGACACATTTGATTTGGTCATGAAGATGTGCTGCAGCTGGAATCGGTCGATCAGAGTCTGAGTGCAGTGCTGATGATGAATGGATGCTGTGACACTTACTGAAGTAAAGCCTGTAGTCGGCCGTGTTGTCTCTGCCTCTCTCCTCCACGCTGAAGCTCATGCTGCCTGTTCTTCCAGCTCTGACTGCACTTACTGACGGCTACTGAGACGCTGCTAATCTAATAATCTATCTATCTATCTATCTATCTATCTGTCTGTCTGTCTGTCTGTTAAGCACATTTCAAGGCTGTTTTAAAGTGTGCACACTAGCGATTAAGGTCACTCCTGTAGTTGACTTCATCTGCAGCAGCAGAGCTTCTCATCGACTGTAGGTGTCTAAAAGCAAAAGCTGAACACCAGGAGCTGAGACCTCAATTTCCCCTGCGTTTGATTCATTCTGCGTAAATCACAGTGGATCTCAACCCTCTGAACTTCACATGTGCTGCTTGTTTTCAGTGTCTCTGCTGCAGTGCTGTATCCTGAGGGAGGGCAGGTGGATGCGCTGATCTCTCGGTTAGCACATCAGCGTGTGTAAATGTCAGTGTGTGAGAGGTGATCCAAACACACACTCACCCACGGCAGCAGGTGGGAGAGACGGGAGTTTAGTGCAAAGCCAATTACAGCCCAGATTACCCTCCTGCTGCAGCGATTTCACCAGCTCTGTCTGATAAGATGCTTATGGAAGCTAAATTTTAACCTGGTGACAAGATAGTAACACAGACTATAAATGACTATAAATAAGGCTGGGGAAGATCCTCCTCATTAGTATGCCATGGAACAGAATCAGATCTGTGTCTGAATGAAGTGTCACAGTTTGTGTAAGAAGAAGAACAAGCAAGAAAAGAAGTGTCAACAGTTAAGTGCTGCATGTACAGTCTCAGTTTTCTCTGAACTCTTCCAGAATATTCCTACACACACAGTGGCGTCGGCAGGTTTTAATGAAGTCCCACTGAGTGCAATTAAAAACAGTACAGAGTTGAATATCTCATCTGCTATGACGGGACAATCATAACTCTTTGGTACCAAAGTTTTACCATGTTCTCTTCACATGTGCATGTTTCCCCCCTATTTTAATCTTTAAACATGTACATACACATTTCTTTATTTCTTTATTTGTACTAGTCAGGATTAGTGTGACCTCTCACAGCATCACAGTAATTTTCAGTCATATGCTCTGATAGAGAGAGTTTGGTATCTTGAAATAGATCTCTACATAGACTTGATTTTCTCCCGGTGGATCAGTATGACGGCACAAGAATGTGTTTCATTTCAGATCTGAATGTGAGTTTGCAGTGAATTGTTTTGAGGAGGTGTTTTGACCAACATGTGGAGCTCAGATTCACCCTCCAGTGAATCTACACGAATCCCAATGGAGACGTTGCTTCTATTATCATCATTATTATTATTATTATTATTGTTATTATCATTATTATTATCCTCATCATCATCATAATTATTATCATTATTATTATTATGATCATCATCATCATCCTCATCATCATTATTATTATTATCATCATCCTCATCATTATCATCATCCTCATCATCATTATTATTATTATCATCATCCTCATCATTATCATCATCCTCATCATCATTATTATTATTAT